AAAGGGGTCATGACCCATAGATTGAGAATCACTTGCCTAAAGGAAAGAAAGACTATTCTGAAATAATACCCAAAATTCTTCTATAACATCCATGACTGATCATTTGCAAAGTGTCCAACATTTCTAGTAAAATCCTTGAGAAGCTTTCTGGAATTGTCACAATTTCTATTGTTTTTTTCCTCCAACATCCAATTAACATTCAGATTGATGATACAGTTATATGCTTATAATCAATTGACTAAAAAAGCAATATTATTGGGCCAAATTCTGTTAAGCATTCATAGTTTAGAAGCACATTTCCTTTAGCATTGCATATAGATGCTTTCTTCAGAATTTATTCTTAATACAGTTGTTTTTCTCTACATCTACTATCTTGAAAATAAATTCATAGACTTGCATAGCTTTTCTTTTAATAGCATCTTTAAACAAGTCTCATGATGCATCAGTTGCAAGTCTTAGCAAGACTTCTTTCAACAAAATCTTTCAAGTCTTCATTTGTCATTACACACCCACCTTTGGCTAAGGAAAAAGGAGTAGAATTATGGTGAGATGAGAGAGGCACAGTCATGTAAGAGTGGGTTTGGGTCCTGTCTTAATTTAAAATGAGAATAATTGGGTCATGGTTAGCATAATAAATTTGATTTTATAAAATATTATTTGTCATGTTTTGAGTTATCTGGGACATAAGGTTTTGTACATGGGACAAGTATACTATTCATCTCAATGCTATTCTGGATTTGTTTGAAAAATTATCTTTATACCTCATTACTTTGTGTCAGAGAAAGACTATTTCAATATGAAGAGAAGGTAATCATGACATTTTATTGAGAGAAACGTACAAAGGGTAAAGCAGGAAAGTGTTCAAAAATCACTGACATGTTCTTTGAGTTAGAATGAAGGGCTCCTTTGTGGTGAAAGATAGGTTACTTCACCAGCTAAAAATGTGACCAAGGCCAAAATGACCTGCTCATGAAGATATCAATTATCTTAGGGAAGGACAGCAATAAGCATATGGCCATTATTTAAAAACTCCAAAATGAGAGATGGAAGATTGGCTTGATATGAACTTGGATCTTTTCTGAAGTTAGGCAAAGGGTTTTTTTGTTTTTTGTTTTTGCTTTTTTTACAGTTGTTGCATTACTTTTAATACTGAGGTTGTCTTTTATAGTCAATTCATTATTTGCCTTAAAAAAACCACACAACAATAAAAATGTTCCTCTTTTTTGAAGGGAGGTGTGTGTGGGATCTGGGGAAGAGGGGGCCCAGGGAGAGGCTGGGAGGGGAGAAGGGTGGGGAAACTGTGGTCAGGATATTATTTCTTAAAAGTGAAATAAAATTGCTTTAGAAAGTCACTATTTTCAAATGACCTCATCAATTATAAAAACCCTAAAATCTATTAAAAAAAATCTTTGAAAGAAAATCTCCAATACCATTTTGAAATATTTCAGGAACTATTTTGAATAAAGTTAAAGAGCTCAGGTGTCATTTGGCCACATGTTCAGTTGAAAGTATGATATTCAGAACTATTCTTTGACTATTCATAATTCAGTATAGCTCATTTCCCAATGATGTTCTAGCCATACATGTTTCTCATGGCACAGACTTATAAATTTTTAGGTTGACACACCTAGCATATAGTAGATGTTTGTTAGGGTAGTGAATATGAACAACACATCCACACTTGCATTGCCTGACATGCTCTACAAGGCTGGACGAGGTAAGAAGTGAGAAAAATCTTGGTCATCTAGTTTAATATTATGAAAATAGGGAAAGTAAGAGACAAAGGAACAATGATAGTAAAATTGCCAGATAAAAACATAAGTCATAAAAAATATATGAAGATATTTTACACAATAACTCTGAAAGACAATAGAAATGATTTATACTTTGAATCATAAGTAATTCTGTTTGCAGTAAAATGGATTTAAAAGTTTAAGCTCATCATATTGTTTAAATTGTTCATATCCTATAAGAATTGTTAGAATAACTTGACTGTTTCCTTTGCAGTGTCCTGAAAATACCATGTTCATTTAAGTCTGCAAGTGGTAGAATCGCCATTGTAAAAGCAGAATGACATCCATTTGGTACTTATTCACTTATGGAGAGGTCATAGAGATCTGGAGCTGTGTGTTTGAGAAGGACAACCAGTTAAAACCACAATTTTATCTTCATTGTGTTTAAGAGTGCTTCACTATTTATACTCATTGGACTCTCTCAGAGGCCTTTTCATGTACATAATCATGTACATAATTCAACATCATCCTCATATCCAGTAATATAATCATGGCTGTGTTTTAAAACTGGACAAACACCACATACTAAAGATGCATAGAGTAAGGAACAAAATAAACAAATTTTACTGTATGGAAAAAAACTAAAACAAAGGGAAGACTGGAAAATCCACAAAGGGATGACTGGAAAATCCATATGCTATTTAAATTATTTTCATACTAGAATGTCTGTAATAATTGTATGGTGATTTTCAAGAACAAATCTTCTTGGAAATTATACAAAGACAGAAAGATAAGCAAATCTGTACTCATCAACAAGTCAAAATATTTGATTAGAGTTCAACAAAAAATATTCATAATTTTGGTTTATTTTCTGTTGGATTTATTAATAATCTTTGTATATTTATATATGTATGGCTTTGAGCAAAGACAAAAGAAATACTCTAACTCTTCGCTGATCATACAGTGGTAAAGTTCAGCCACTGTCCTATCTCCTCAGCAGCAAAATACCATAATACAGTTCTTTCTGTATAGATTAAAACTCCACACCTGAGTTTAACTATGTACAGAGAAAAAAAGGTCATGTTCTCCTAGCACTGTACCTTTATATTACAGAAACATCAGTCACTTTCTCCTTGATCTAAATATACATATATATACATTCATACATATGTGTATATAATTTACCCTGTACCATTTTTTTAGATGAACATATAAAGCTTAGGGTTCTTTGTTCATTCTAGTACAAAGTGAATAAAAATTTTATGGTTGCACTGAATGACCATGCAATTCAATTTTGCTGATGTTTCCCAACAGTGCTAAAAAAATTTATATATAAAAATACTTTACTACCAAACCCATTAATCCTGTCAAATGTAAACCTTTAATAATTTAAAAGACTAAAGCATGATCTTAATAAGAAGCTAACTTTTATATTTTAATAAAATAAAGGAGTTTTGTATTGATATGTAAATGGTCTTGCAATATTCCCATAGATTCTAGGTAGGCTGAACAATTTCTCTCTTACATTATTTCCAACAGTCTGTCATTGGTCACCAGCATGTCAGTATTAAATAATATCACATTGCCAAGCATTGCTGATTGCTTCCACACAAGTTAGGATCTGTTGGCAATTAAGCATGACAACTAATTTTGGTTTCATAGGTGTTAGATTCCTCAAAGGCTTAACAGTTAACACAGATCCACTTTAGAGCTCTTGCTTCTGCCTTTGTCCTCTGTCCTCAAGTCTATCTGGAGGCCCTGTCCTAACAGAATGTGTGTTCTTAAATGGATCATCAGTACCTGTGCTCCCAAAGCCCACCACTCCAGGTTACTCTCCCGAGTTACTGTCAGAAGTCAGACATTGTGTTCCAGTCATCAACCACGTGTGTGGGATGCAGTAAACACACATAATCACTAAAGGACTTCTCTAGAAGAGGCTGATGCTCACAGAAAGAATTAAGGAAACAAATGAACAAACAACAATGCTTGCAGACAGCTCAGCTTCGCCCCTGCTTTCTGTCACCAGGTCCACATTACTTTCAGCACATTTAGAAGAGCAAACCTCCTGTTTATCTAAGGACTATGTTGGTTACCACATGCCTTAAGATTTACTAACTGCTTAGTTACAATATACATAGGGCAAAATGTGTATTTCCAAACAGATGTGATGATATATTATATTTATTTCTTCACATTAACATCACAGTAAACTACCAACTAACATGAAGACACAACACATTTAACTCCAAACCAAGCTGTGATTTGCAAATAATCATTTAAATGATAATAACAGTAATAATATTAAATTAAAGCGAAAACCTCACTTCTAGATTTAAGTCAGAGATCCAAGTCAGCCTTATAAGAATTTTAAAAGAGGCAATTATTGAATTATTATACTCTTCTAGAAGTGAGAAATACTGTAAGCCATTTCTTACAATAATTGATTTGAATCTACTTTTTTTCTTTTTTTTGCCCCAAAAAGCATGCCAGGACTAGTTTCAGATGCTTGGTTATGTTAAGAAGGAAGAAAAGTAATGATTTTTGGTGTAATACAAGCAATTTGTAGATTCAAGCATACAATTTTGCATAAAATATTGCAGGTTAAAATAATATTGTAGGTCTCAAGCCATTGCATTACATTTGAACAATTGTCACAATTATTAGGTTCTGTGAAATTTAAAACTCTAACTTCTGAAGTGAAGCAACAAAACTAAATTCTTAGTGACTTTTACCTTTATACAATACAGAATAGTTACATTTATTTGGGTTGGAAATGTTATTTACAACTAACATTGACTGAGTCTTGGTAAAAGTCCAATAACACATGACGACAAATACCTCCTCACCCTTTTGCAGAAATCAAGGAACATGTTTGAGGTTAGAGAAAGCCTTAACAGTGGCAATGTTAGTCTCTTATAGTGGCTGTGCATGGAGTGTATTCCTTTACTTAACTCAAAATTTAAAGCACCAAAATACAATTTAGAGCTATAAACCGGGATTAGTTTAGTGAATCCCGCAAAATTAACAATCTAGATGCAGAGGCAGAGCTAATGAAAGAAAGTTTTGATTGGTGCTATTCTGGAACTAATTGGAGTTGCCTTTTTTAAAATCAGAGTTTTGTTCCCTTGATTCCAAGAACTCGTCATAAAAAGGGGAAATACATATAGCAAAGGAATTAAGTAAAAGATTAGAAATCAATTGTCTTACAACAACATGTTAAATCCTTTAATGGTTTTAAAGAAAGGAACAAATGTAACACTGAATGCTATACAAGTCTTTTGAATGATTTCTTGGGTATTTAGATATATATGTGTGTGTATATTAAATTGTATATGTATATATGTTTTTACATTTGCATGTAGGCAGGAGCTGTCTAAAATATCTTTTCAGAATAGGCTATAGGGATCTATCATGAGATAGAATAAAATAATATCTGAGAATATTCTGTTTATTAAGAGTATTTCTTTTCTGCTTTGACAATCAGCAAGAATCATAAATTCGAAGCAAAACGTGGCTTTTCTGCCTCTAGGTCTGTGTTTAAGACTGACGGAGACTCTCTCTGAACAGCTGCTGGTGGTGGGGGTGCAGGAGGAACTCCTCGGTTTGGGGGGATGGCTCCCGAGGACATCTGTCGGAACAAGGTGACACGTTGCGGCACTGTGCTCCTAGCCCCTGCCTGAAGGCCCGTGCTGTGGACTGCTGCCACTGGCTGAGGGATGGAGGCCAGGGACTCGCCCACAGTGGGATGAGGTCTGGAGATCATAGTGGAAACCTCGTGGGGAAGGGACGGCTGCGAGGCCGAGAGGGGCCTGACTTCTCTGGTCAGGTTGGTGTTGTGAAGCGCTTGCGTGCTCTTGTGCACCTCATTTTTCGGTGTGGAACTACTAGGTGTCTGTGGCTGCGGCTGCGGCTGCGGCTGCTGCTGCGGCTGTGGCTGCGGCTGCGGCTGAGTCTGCTGTTGTAGCTGCTGCTGTGGGTGTTGCATGAGTGACAACTGGGAAGCAGTGGGAGAGGCGTAATGGAAAGTTCGCGTGGTCAGGGGGCTCTGTACAGGAGGACTGCAGACTGCCGTGGTATAGGAGCAGGGTGAAAGGATGGCTGAGGGTTGGGGTGTCTGTGTGCTGGGGCTGGGCGAATGTAGGTTGCTGTGAGATAGGCTGGTCGCAGTGTAGACTGGTGGAGATTGTGTCCTCATGCGGGAGGTTGGGGTTGTGGTTGAAGATGTGCAATTCAGGGCTGTCATTTGAGGGTAGTTGATCGGAGGGATAGCTTGTACCATCTCTCTGTCGTGTTTCACAATCTGCTTCAGGATCTCATTCTCCTGGTTGTTGAAAACACCAGTGTTCAGATCCTTCTGGAACTTCTGCAGGAGAAGGGAGTTTTTCTTGCCTATCAGCAAAGGAAAAAAAAAAAGGCATTTACACAGGCTGGAAAGAATTAATAAAGTCACGCAAGAATGACTGCTCCAGGGTGATGTATGTCACCGTTAGGACCAATGGGTTTAGAAGTCAAGAACTCAATCTGTCACAACCAAACAGAAATAAAATTTCTGCCTCATGTATAATTTTGCATCTGCTTAGAAATCTCACCCTCTATTTAAGAAAAATTGGAAAGACTAAAGATGGCAAAAATGAAAACTGCTTTCTAGAGGAAATGTAGACGTTTTATAGGAGAGTTATTTGAGGGATAGAGGAAAAGGCGTCTTTGGGTCAGGCTGGGTCTAGAATCATTATTTTTAATTTCAAGTTGTGTTTGCAAGGCAAGGCAATGGAGAGTGAGAGCCAACACTGGAGTGTTGCTTTCAGACAAGGCAACAAAAGGCTTTAAGTAGAACCATTTGTCTAGTGCTCAAGATCCTGAAGTAGATGTATTCATCATATTTATGACATGGCAAGGTTATGATCACAGCTCAGAAATCTGGGTTAGAGGACCTAAGACCCCTGTTCAGATGTAGCCCATAGCAGCTTAGGCTCCATGTGGGTTCTCTAATAAGGGGAGCAGGGGTTGTCTCTGACATGGACTCTGTTGCCTGCTTTTTGATCACCTCCCCTGTTGGGGTATCCTTCCCAGGCCACAGAGGAAGAGGATGCAGGCAGTCCTGATGAGACTTGATAGGCTGGGGTCAGATGGTAGGGGAGGCGGTCCCCCCCAACCCCTTTCTGAGGACAACAGGAGGGGATGGATGGGAAGAGGGAGGGTGGGTGGGACCTAGAGGAGATGAGGGATGGGGCTACAATCGAGATATAAGGTGAATAAATTATGAACAAATAAATTTGGGTTAGGAAGTAAAGTGGCTGTAAAGACAGGAAAGAATTCTGATTATGAAGCCTTTGCTATAGTTAACAAATTGGCTTCATCTATATCATCTTGGTGCCTGTAAGAAAGATGGTCCCTCAGACAAGACACAGATCACTGAATCAGATCGTTTTATTTTTATTTTTTCTTCTTTTTAAAATTATTTTTATTTCAGTTTATTTACTTTGCATCCCAAGAGCGGCTCCTCCCTCCTTTCCTCATAGTCACTTCTCCCTTCCCTTCTCCCTTTCCCCCCGAAAAGGGGAGCCCCTACCCCCATATCAACCCTCCCCAGATCATCAAGTCAGACACTGTTTTATACACAGTTTCTTGAACTTTTTCAGAGATTCAGCGTTTGACCAGTTCCAGGTACCAATGATTCTTAACTCTAGCTGACTGTTTTCTCTGATCTCTGGAGCTGCAAGACATCATGATTGTCAGTGCATGCCAATTAAATGTGAACAGCCTGATGTGGGGTCCAGATTTTACCATTTGCAAGCAGATTTCCTCAGGCAATGCTTACGTGCTGGCGCACTGAGAATCAACTCATGATCATTCTTCTCTCCTGTGCGGTGGCCCCGAGGATGGGAGGGGGCGCGCCGAGCTCTGTGCCCCTCAGCTCACTCCAGGACACAAATGAGTGTTAGCTCTACTTCCTCTCATTTTTTTTTTTGAGAGTTTTGCAATTGATAAGCATTCCCTGGCATAATCCCAATTAGAATCAACAGCACGTTGGTAAAGAAATAAAATAAAAATACAGAGGACACTACGATAACACGGCCCGCTGAATAAACTATGCAGGGCGCATAAGGGCTCACAGAGCAAGCAAGGGGCCTCCAGGGCTCTGCAGCAGGGCCTCTGCACATACACTGTGGCTGTTAGCTCGGGGGGACTTATAGCTGTGAGAGCGGATGTGTCTGAAATTTTGTCTGCTCTTGGGACTCTTTCTCCTATTGGGTTGCCTTGTCTTATTATATTTCGTTTTGTCTTGTGTGGTTGCTGTATCTTGGAGGCCTGCTCTATTCTGAAGGGAGGAAGGGGCCTGAATCTCGGGGTAGGAGAGGGAGTGGGTAGCTGGGAGGAGTAGTGGGAGGGGAAACTGTGGTGAGGATGCGGTTGTATGCAAAAAGAATCTATTTTCAATAATAAAAAAGTAAAAACACACAAAAGTAAGAACACGCAGATGCAAAAGAAAAATTATACCCAAATGAGCACGGTAAATGCAAAATGAATAACTTATGCTCCACTCCTAAATAGTATCATTTCAAAAATAACTGAGTATATTTTCAACAAGGTGCATTATGATAATTTTCTTGGATGCTGGGGAAAGTGATTATTTTAAATCATTGTCAAAATCGGTATAGCTTCTTTCCTCAACGCTCCTCTAATTTTCCAAAGGCTCTTCTGTTAGTATTGATAATGAATACAGATGTTTATTTGATATTGAGATTGAGATGCACATTGTTACTTTGTATTTGAACACTCTGTGTTTCATAATTAAGGTATCTTTATCCATGGAAAGAATTAAAATTGGTAGATTTTTTTCAGTGTCAAAAATACAAATATTCGGTGCTTACTAGCAATGTTATTACTTATACTATTGAATGAAACCATTTTGTGTAATTTTCTTGAGAAGTTATAATTTTGAAGAGAATGAAGATGAACCAGATTAATAGAAACTACTGAATATGCTAAACTACAATAGTTTATCTAATGATGTCCACTTGGTTTAATAACTCAGTCTCAAACAGAAATCACTCGAACATTCATATAACAAACACTTAGGTTGTCTTCAAATCCTAGTTTCAGGAATGTCTTCTTATTTTTTGGGCTCCATCTCTCTGGATAACTATGTCCTGTTAACTCGCTAAGTTGTCTGTGTGAACTTTTAGAATGTTTGTTGTGCCCAGTGATAAGGTCCACATAGTGCTTTTACTTTACATCATTTAGAATCTGCCATTCTGGCATACGCAGAGGGAAAGAAAGATGAGCAAGAAGCTGTCTTAGAGTAAGATCTTACCTTTGGAAGAGTGAACTCCTGATGCACCTGTTTGCTGACTTCTAACTGACCCCCAAAGCCATCTGCTTCAGGTATATTTACTCCCTCCCTCCGCCCTCCCCCTTCAATATGCACACATTGCGGACCAAGTATTACAACACTAATGGTGAGTTAGAGATGCTTTCTTCATTCATAAAATTTAGTATTTTTCTAAAACAGTTACCATAACAAAGGAAGTGCCATGAGAAGAGAATGTAGGAGACTATAGGAGAACACATCAAGGGAATTTAGACTTGTATGTGGTGGAAAGCCCAAAATCATTTTTACAGGGAATAGTGTTTAAGCTGAGTTGTGGATCTCATGCAGAACTATGCTAAGAAACAGGGGAAGGAAAGAAAAGGTGGACAAAAAGGTTAAGGTTTGAAGAATGAATATATACTATCATATTTCAGTGTATTCTAGGATAGTGAGGAAATTTAACAGCAAGACAACATGATCCTACTTTGCTGTGGAAACTACACAAATCTTGAGCTAACTAATAAGTTATATTTAATATATTTTCATTTTGTAGCAAGGCATACTTCATAACATTGATGTTTGCAAAGTAAACATCTATGTAGGGCATATCTACAAAGGCTTATTTTATTTGAGTCTGTATTACAAGCATTTTGACGTATCCAACAATACAGGTTTTTAACTTTTTAATGTAAGTATAAAAGTAAAACTGGCCCTTAAAGATAAAAAGATGATGAATTTGGAATGTAATACAGACTTATGTTATTGGATTTAAGTGCTATTTTATTGCTGCTATCTAAAATTTCTATCAGTGTGTTTTACCTGAAGATTCAAACTGAAGTGGTTTCACTTTGGTTATCAGTTTGTGTAGCTAATAAAAACAGACATGAACAAATCAATCCAGAGCACTCAGAAGGATCTGGCACCACCTCAGATCTTTCTAACCAGTGATTTGCTACACAGCTATTTGTTATTTTTTTTTCCTCCACACAAACTAACAAAGGATCTATGCAGTAGAATTTGAAAGTAACACTAAATTGTGCTTGAGGGAAGTGGAAAGCTAAAGATTACCTATCCGATCTAGTCGGTCAATAGCAACCGTCTCGAAGGCTCGTCTCATCATTGGATATTCCTCCAAGACCTCATTAAAATTGTCCACCGAAAGGGAGTAAAGACGACAGTATGTATCAGCTCGAACACTGGCAGTGCGCCGGCCCTTAGTCAGTAGGCAAATCTCTGTAAAAAAAGAAGGGAGAATCATTTGATTGGTAATATTCCTTTCTAAGTTTTGAATGCCTCCTACAATTAAAAAATACTCATGTGAGTATTCAATGGTTAGAAGCATTAATTTTCCATTGATCAGGAAATTAATCTGGCTATTAAAACCACATGAATGTTAATGTTCATTTTTAAATTTTGTTTTACATATGATAATATACCTACAATTATCCTTTACATTTCCTCCCACCATACTGTCCCACATACATCCACCCCAATCTCTTTCAAATTCATGGCCTCTTTTTTTACATTGTCATTACAAGTATATATGTAATTCATACATTCATATATATATGTGTATATATATATACATATATATATATATACACATATATATATATGTATATATATCCTGGCCAATCCATATTATTTGTATGTGTTTTTTAGATCTGACCATTTAGCACTGGAAAAGACCCATTTTAAAGATTGTGTTTTTAAACAATAGAGCCTTTGGGAGAGAAAAAAAAGTTTCTGCTCTAAAGAAAAGGGGTGGTGGTAGTGGTGGTTTGTTTTGAAAGACATTAAGAAATACATAATGGAATTGAAAAAAGTTATAATCAGAAGATTTTGTTAATCTAGAGGGAAGGAAGCAGATAGTATGTTGTACAGAGAATCAAGAGTGAGTAAACAAAAGTGAGCACTTTGGTTTACTTTATGTACTCCGTTTGACTTAAAAATGAAGAAAACATACAAATGTGGCTTCCTACTTAAATACCACCCAAAAATTCATCACTAAAATTAATATCCTTCTAACCACATGTTTCTAATTAGAATTTCCAGTTTGCTAACTAACTTATATTATTTTTAAAATTTTATTAACTAAATCAAATTATCATAGGCTTTGTCTTCTTTTAAGCTTGGAAGTAATCATTTCTTTTCCTCCTTTTTTTTCTTTTCTTCTTCCCTCCTTTTCTTTTTTCCTTCCTTCCTTTTCTTCCTTCCTTCTTTCCTTCTATTCTTCCTTCTTTCCTTCCTTCCTTTCTTTGTCTTTAAAATGACCCCTTTGAGCACATGAGATGGCTTGAGTAAAGGCACTTGCTGTCAGCACTAACAGCCTCTGTTCAATCCCTAGCACCCATGTTGCAGATGCAGAGAAATGGCACAAATTGTCTCCTGGCCTCTATCTACATATGTGCCATAGCGCATGCCTACCCATATATATGCATACACATATAAACAAATAAACAAGTACATGCAACAAATAGAAATAAAACACGTTGTAAAGTTTCTTACATAATTTGAAATATCTGTGTTGTTCAGTGACCGTTTTTATTTGACACTCAAAGTTATGGAAATAGTGCACAGGTAGTACAATATTTACAGTTTTATAAGTTATACTATATATATATACTTATGTATATAGATCAAATATGGAGAGAGATGCCAAGATGGCAGCAAAAAAAGACAAATGAATAAACAAACCAGACAGCATTCTTCTTCCCCAGAAGTCTGAAAAGAAACCTGAGCATGGAGGCTTTGTACAGCATTAACACTTTTCTGTGGATTCAGCTACACACATCAAAATGCATGTGCTTTTTAAGAAACTCTTGTTTTGTTTGGTGTAGTATGAAGGGTTTTGGCCCAAGGATTTCAAATGTTCAATTGTTGCTTAAACTGATGGCGCTTACTTGAGAAACTATGATACCATGTTCTTTTATTGAGAAGTACATAAAACAACATTGACTTCTCTCTGCTAGATATAACATATTTGTAGTAGACCTTGCATATATCTAGTCTAAGTCAAACAAAACTATTTCTAAGCCACACAAAATTATTCTTAACTCAGTACGTGTAAGCACTTCTTTAAGTGAGGGGCCACGGAGTCTCTCAGTAGAAGAGTGTGTTTACCAACATTCACAAGGCCTGGATTCAGTCTACAGCTCCACACACACAAAAGGAAGATCCTCCACACAAATGTACCTAGTGATAAATCCATTCTCCTACAGTTAATATTATAATATGTTATAACTGTCCTTCAGGTTGATTTTTCCCAGCGTGCTTTACAGGTAGTGATAAAAGGTTTCTCTACTTTGGCTAAGAGGAAATTGTCAATAATGTGCCCTGTCACAGGTACATTAGAAAGATGGTCCCCCAGGAGCTCCAGAAGGAGAGCAACAGGACCAAAATATCTGGGCACTGGGGTCTTTTCTGAGACTGCTACTCCAACCAAGGACCCCACATGGAGATAACCTAGAGCCTCTGAACATATGTAGCCCATGGCAGCTGAGTCTCCAAGTGGGTTCCATAGTAATGGAAATAGGGATTGACTCTGACATGAACTCAGTGGCTGGCTTTTTGATCACCTCCCCCTGAGGGGGGAGCAGCCTTATCAGACCACAAAGGAAGACAGTGCAACCAGTCCTGATGAGACCTGATAAGCTAGGGTCAGATGGAGGGGGAGGAGGACCTCCCCTATTATTGGACTGGGAAAAGGGCATGGGAAGAGGTGAGAGAGAGAGGGTAGGATTGGGAGGGGACAATGGAGGGGGCTACAGTTGGGATACAAAGTGAATAAACTGTAATTTATAATGAAATACATCAATTTTTAAAAAAATGAAAGCTGGTCCCAATTTCTGTATCAGGAAGACTGTTATTTGAGAGATTAGATTTGACCTAGCACACCGTGTGACTACTTTTAATAATCCTTCAGCTATGAGATGTATCATCTGCCCAATGCTATTTTTGCTGACATTCGTTAACCCTGATTCTAAACATTTAAGTCCACTTGACATTATTGTCACCTATATAAGCAGTTATTTCGCGAGGTAGGGCAAATAGCTTCAAGCATTTTCCAACTCAGAAGGATTTCACTGACCTCTAAAACAGTGTGACATTGCAGTGACAGGGAGTTAATCAGGAACTCATGATAGACTTTCTAAAGTAATGTTTTCAGCCTGAGTTCTGGAATTTTTTGTGAAAAATTCTACTTGCTTGTTTACTGTAACTGAAGCAAATATTGCTTCTGTTCCTAAATCTCAGTATCATGAAATAAGAGTAATTAGCCATTATACAGTAAAAAGATATTTTTCTCAGAGAAGTTTATCGACTTTCTAATTCATTTTCTTATAATAATATATCAGAGAAAGTATCACCTTTTTCCTTTCATATTTATTATATTTTAGGTCTTTCTATTAGTTATGCTAAAAATAATAATATATATATATATCCAGGTACAACATTATATACCTGGTATAACATTATATACCAGGTATAACATTATATAATGACATTAATACCTGGATTTACCAATTTGCATATCAAACTTCTCTTACAGCAGTATGTTGGATGTCAAGCAGGTTTGAAAAGGGATCTAAAATGTGGACAAGACAAAACATTAAATACCGGTTTTGTGTTATTACGTATTCCAAATTTTATATTACTAAAACACAGACTAAAAATGATAAATTTTCAAATATGGATATTATAAAGAAATGATTATATATTGACACACTGAATATGGTGATAAATATTCTAATGACCCAGAATATATTGTCTTGCCACTTTCCCATGTAGATTAGTAATTTCCATGTGCAGAGATGAACCAGATTATACACTTCCTATGGTTTTTCTTATCCTGTTGGCAATTGTTATTTATGATTACTTAGGGTCATCAAAACTATTGGCTTAATAAGCAAATCATAGCTTTCACCCTTTATTAAATTGATTCATTTATCTTAAGAGATATAAATTAGTCCTCTGCCAGAGCACTGTGTGCTCTTAGCCGACGAGCCATTGGCTCTATATTCCAGAAGTCATATGGCTTTCATTTCATTCCGTTGATTACAAACTCTGATGTGACATCATGTTCCTTTTCATATGCATGTTTTCACAGACATTTATACTTTCCACCTTTCCTTTTCCCTCTCTCTCCAAATTTACATTGTTTTCCCATTCCACTGTGACTCTGTCAGCTGTCTAATGTTTACGTATATCATATATTCATGGTATTGTTCATAAGTGTTTATTAAATACTTACTTAAACTATTAATCTTTGGTAAGTTAAAATATTATTGATTATCTCGAGTATCTGTTGCCCCAAAACAAACAAACAAAAACCAATCGTTGTTATTTTTGTATTAGCCAGTGTGAACATACATGGATTTTTTTTTTTTTTTTTTAAGACAAAGATTCTCCGTGTAGCCTTCGCTGTCCTGGACTCCCTTTACAGACCACTCTGGTCTTGAACTCACAAAGATCTGCCTGCCTAGGCTTCCCTGCGTGCTGAGATTACAGGCATGTGCCACCATGCCCAGCTGGACTTAAATTTTCTTTTTTTTTTTTTCTATTTTTACTTTTTCTTTTTTAATACTATTTATTACAATTTATTCACTTTGTATCTCAGCTATAGTCCCCCTCCCTCATCTCCTACTTGTCCCACACTCCCTCCACCCTCCCTTTCCCCACATGTCTCTCCCATAGTCCACGGATAGCAGAGGTCCTCCTCACCTACTATTTGACACTAGCCTACCAGATTTTATCAGGACTGTCTGGATCCTCTTTCTCTGTGGCCTAGTTAGGCCACCTCACCAGGAGGTGATCAAAAAGCTGGCCACTGAGTCCATGTCAGAGGTAGACCCTGTTCCCCTTAGTAGGGTACCCACTTGGAGATTGAGCTGTCCATGGGCTACATATGAGCAGAGGGTATAGGTTCTCTCCCTGCACTGTCCTTGGCTGATTCACCAGTCTCTGCAGGACCCCTGAATTACTGGCTTTGGTTCTCTTTGTGGAGCTCCTGTCCCCTCTAGGTCTTTCTATCTCCCTCTTCTCTTCCATAAGATTCCCTGCACTCTGCCCAAAGATTGACTATGAGTCTCAGCACTTGCTTCGATACCCTGTTGGGTCGAATCTTTCAGAGGCTATGAAAGGCATCTGTCCTGTTCCCTGTCTTCTCCTACTTCTGATGTCAACTCTGTTTGCCCTTCTGAATGAGTATTAAGCATTTTCCCTAGGGTCTTCCT